ACCTTATCTAACGTAAATTCTAGTAGCTAAAGGTTTAAAAATATATTAAGAACTATATAAGTACCTATTAGACTTACTAAAGAGCTAAAACCTCTAGATATACCTAATATAGTTTACTTTAACTTCTACCTACCTCTAATAAACTATAGTAAGATATCTTTATAAATATAATTACTAAACTATCTTTAAGTATATATAATAAATAAGCTTTTAATAGTATTCTAGTAGTTATAAATAAATTCTCTAAAATAGTATACTATATACTAGTTAAGAGTAATCTAGATACTCTAGAGCTAGCTAAGATTTTTATAAAAGAGATTATCTAACTCTATAGCTCTCTAAGATTAATTATATTAGATTAGAGTAGTATATTTATATTAGTATACTAGAGTACGTTTACCTAAGTTCTAGGTATAAAAAGGCTACTCTCTACTACCTTTTACCTATAGATAGATAGCTAAACTAAATAGTAGAATTAAATTCTAGAGTAGTACCTTTAAATATATTATAACTTTAAATAGAATAACTAGGTCTAGTAGTTATTAGAAGTAGAGTATATCTATAATAACTTAGTCTACTAGTTAACTTAAAGAGCTTCTTTTAAAGTAGTATATAGGTAGACTCTATCTACTACTATTTAGATAGGTCTAAAGCTAAAGAGAGGTAACTCTATAAAGATATTAGATTATAGCGCTAGACTACGCTAGATTATCTAGAAAGTATATACTTAACTAGAAAAGGCCTAAGTCTAGTAAGTATAATACTATAATATAAAATATAAGCTAAAGTAATATAAGGTTAGCTAACTTATATATTTAAATGTCTAAAATATAATAATAGAACACCTAAAAAAAAACTTAATAATAAATTTCTTAGACCTTACTAGATTATATATAAATATAGTATCTAAGTATATAGACTTAACCTTCTAGATATTCTTAATATCTATCTAACCTTCTATATTAGTTTTCTAGAGCTAGCTCTTTTAGATTAGATTCTTCTAAGAGAATAACTAGCTCTTAGGTAAATACTACTCTAAATAGAAAACGTAGTATATATAGTAGACTATATTATAGAAAAAAAAAGAGTAGATAACTAGTAGCTATATAGAATATACTAGAAAGAATAGAATAAGTTAGTAGATAAGTAGTACTTAGTAGAAAATATATCTAAAGAGGTTCTAAATATATTCTACTAAGAATTAGAACTAATAGAATAAAAAACTTATAGTTAAGCTTCTAAAAAGAAAAAAGAAAATTAATATAGCTAAATAGAATAGAACTAGAAAAATCTTAGCTAATCTAGACTAAACTAGACTAGATAAAAAGTAGTAAAGCTCTAAGAGGCTAGATAAGCCTATATAAGTTAGACTAAATCTAACGTTAAATTCTAATATTTTAAAAAAATTCTTTTAAAAAAAAAATTTTTACTAAGTTATAATTTTCTAAAATATTAGTAAATTCTAGAAATAATTCTTATTCTAAAAACTACTCTAGACTAGGCTAGATTAGACTAGATTTACCTAGAGCCTCTCTAAAAAATACTAAAAATATAAGAACTAGGTATACTATAGCTAAAGCTCTATAATAATATCTAATTTAAAAAAAAGAAATCTCTATCTACTTAACTAAGGCTCTCTAACTCTAAATTACCTCTAAGAGGCCTAGATCTACTAAATCTACTTATCTAGATACTTTTTATTCTAGTCTAGCTACTTAGTATTCTAGCTCTAGATAAAGTTATTTTATAGACTCTACCTCTTTCTTATTATAGCTAGAACGTACTAGATAAGAAAGTTAACGTATTCTTAAAGAAGAGTAACCTTAGCCTAGAGAGCTAGAATTCTCTCTAAGCTAGAGGTAGCCTAGATTAGGTTAGAATAGCCTAGATTAATATAAGGTAGATACTTACCTAGTAAATTTACTTTAGTAGAGTAGCTAGAGGTAAGTTCTTAAGTAGCTTTACTAGACTAGCTAAGTAACTCTTCTTCTTCTTCTCTATTATACTAAGAACGCTAGTATTAATAAAATAAGATAAGTTTAAGTATAGTAGAGTTAGAGAATTATAGGTAAGCTTATTCTTAGTAAGTCTAGCCTAGATTAGTCTAGATCTTTCTAGGTTATACCTAGCTATACTTACTTAAGATACTTATTTATAACCTACTCTAGCTTAGCCTTAAAGCTAGCCTAGATAGTAGGCTTAAGAGATTTAAGATTAAGAACTCTAGTTACGTAGTTTATTAGCAAGACTTACTCTAATAAGAGAATTAGTAGCTTAGTAATCTTCTTAGAAACCTAGAAGACTAGATTAGCCTAGATTAGGCTAGAGATATCTAGACTATATACCTAGTAGTAATCTCTACCTCTCTTAAAGTAGTTACTATACTTAAGTAGAAGATTAGTCTTATTCTTATTAATCTACTCTAATAAGATATAGACTTTATAGCTTTATAGGTCTATATTCTTCTTAATAAAGAATTAGTATATAGGTACTACGTTCTACTTATCTAAGAATATAGTAGTTAAGGTCTTATTAAAGTAGATTACATAACTATTAGCTAAGTACCTTACGCGCGTATACGTGTTATCTAGATAGACCTTATAATAATTAGCTAGATCTATAGTAGACGTAGCTAGAGAGAGCTAAAGAGCTCTAGAGAAAGCTAGATTAGAATTAAGAAGGCTAGATAGAGCTATAGAAAGTAAGAGTAGGTATTAATAAGAATAGAGTAGAGTTAAGAAACTATAGAAGAGTTAGATTAGTCTAGACTAGCCTAGATTAGGCTTACCTAAATCTTAGCTAAAGTTTAGAAAAACTTACTAATTAGTAGAGAGAGAAAGAAAAGAAGAAGAATAGAGTAGAAAGATTTAGCTAAGATTTTAGATTTTTATATCTCTAAACTCTAATACTAGCTAAATTACTAGGTATATAAACTACTTTAGTAAGTATATAAACTACCTAGAAGAAGAATTTTTTACGCTTTAACTTAGAGCTAAGTCTTTTTAAGAAGAGACTCTTTGTTATAAGTAGTACCTAGGCTACTTTAATAGAGTCTAGGCTAGGCTAGATTAGCCTAGCGCTGTATTAGCTTAGTCTAGATAGAGCTAGATTAGATTAGCGTAGTATTAGCTTACTCTATCTACTCTTCTTAGATATAGTTGCGATTCTTCGCCTAGAGAGAAGAGTAGAGAATTATATTATAGAATACTCTAGAATTAACTACCTTTTACTTGTATGTTCTACTATTACTCTATTACTACTAGCTTAGTCTAAAGAATTATACGCAGATTCTTCTTTTATAAAAAAGAAGTTTTTCTAACTTCTATCTCTTATTACGCTATTCTTAGAAGATCTAGCGCTATAGAAGTTTTCTAGAAACCTTTATTAAGTTATAAATACTATATACTATAAGTTTTATAGATTATTATAGAGATATAATAGTACTTACTAGAAGTAAACTAGATTTTTCTTAAAAGTTAGTTAAATACGTATAGCTTTTTAATTACGTAATATATCTTAGTATAACTTTTATATAAGGTATAATATACTATAGAGAATATATATTTAAATTTTTATAGAAAAATATTAAGGTTTTAATTAGTTATTTAAGAAAAACGGGTTGGTTTTCGTTGATTTTCCTTGCCAAGAAATCGTGGGCGGTTCGCTTGTGTGGGCGGTTCGCTTGTGAAGTACGTTACATGAGCAAAATAATCAAACATTCGTGAGCGCTAAGCTTATCACACTTGCGACGCGATAATAGGGATGAGAAAAAGACTCTCACGTATCTTAAGAGTCCTTTGCACTCCTCACTTGGCTATAAGATAATCATCGGTTATTAATCTAGGATTTGGATGTTTAGAGGCCAGCGACCGAGTGATTTTTCGAATTTTAAAGCTGTGCCAAGATTAAGGGTCATGCGCCGTTTAAAGCATGACATTATAAACGCATTACCTGTTCTACCAATTAGCCGGCCGCCCGGTATTCACGTGATATTGATGACGCTGGTGGGGTAGCGGATATTCTACGGCGGCGAAAATCCGCCGGCTTCCCCAAATAATTTCAACCTTACACCTCAGTTGGCCTCTGTTGGGCAGCGACGCGGGGCAGTTATGAACTGTATCTAGTCGAAAGTTACACTTTGGAGTTAGGCAGCACTTGGCACCCCGTAGTCCGTCAAGCAACTGCCTGCTTCGAAAACGCCCGCAGAAGTCGGAAATAGGAAGTTGTTTTCGCTGCACGGGGATGAGTAGCACGCGCAGTATTATTGGCTTGCAATCTAGGCAGCCATCGCCGAGGATGATCATTGGGACAACGACTAGCAGTATCAGCTCTGACCTTCACTTCTGCAGAGGAGTGCATCGCGGTAACCCAACGTTACCGCTCTGGACGCGTCTTCGATAAGACGTGAGGGCACCATTGGCATGGGAAAGCCCACTCTCATGAACCCAGGTGTCTTCCCAAGATACCCTATATTCGCGGCCTGACTTGGTTATTCTTTCCCCTTTGATTTTACGAAACCATTCTATCTAGCTACCCTCGAGCTATTCCCGCAACAGATCTTAAACCTCGTAGCTCTCCACCTCTCTCCCCACACCTGACCCGTCACCACCACCTTTCCCCCCTCGTGCCCGTTAACCCTTTCATCATTGGTATTGCATAGTTGTGCCATTCCAAAGAGCCCAATGCAGTCCTCCCTGCCATGGAGATGAGGAATATACCCAAACATTGAGAGGAACGTTCGGCTGTGAGTGTTGGACTCCTGCCTGTGTCTCGTATTGATATCGTTGTTGATGACCATTCCACTGCCAGGTTCCCCCAGCAGAACTGGAAGATGCTGACGGGGTAGCCGTATAAGATGCCGATGGGGCAGTCGCGTAAGGTGTAGTGGCGTAAGGGATTGCCGTGGAAGGTGTAGTCGTGTAAGATAGCGATGCAGTAGCCGTGGAAGTAACGGCTGTGGTCTGAGAGGACTGACCACGAGGTATACCCCGGACCAGCCTATCCTCTACATAAACTTGAATTGTATCCCCCCTACCATCAACAAAAACAGAACCACGGTCCGGGTGACTATCAGAGAACGGGACAACATAGGTCCGGCTCGTGTCCGGAGTCAACCCGACTTCACGTAGCTTCATTTCCATGATCCTTTGCTGGTCGGGAAGTGCAACATGGCCCTGATATACAGCGCAGACAACCCAAGAACCGGGATTTGCCGGAAACAAGTCTTGACACTGCCGGTAGTAGCCTGTGATTCGTCCCACGAAAGATCGGACATGCTCGTCACCAGCATTTCGATCACTGGTATTTCCATCTGGAAGAGGGGATACGTGTCCCAGGATCGCCCCGAGTGGGGAAAGGATAAGGATAACGGAGCAGGATCCAAGCTTATCTGTCCCAATGCAAGGAGTCTGTGAAAACCGGACACCGTTGAAGGCATTCATGGGAACTGCGGTTGCCTGGCGACCGATAACAGCGGCTTGGAATCGACTCTCTCCATTAGTAGAGGTGGACATCTTGGGCAGGTCTTCGATGAGGATTTAAATTGATGCTGAAAAGTAGGGAGTATTGCAGGTGATATATCGAGGAGAATTGATGAACAGGGTCTGGCTCGAGAAGGAATGGGGTATGATTAATTCATCGGATCGAGGAGCATTTCTTTGTAACTAAAGTTGCTGTGCCGCATGTCTAACGCTTCTCACCTCTAGGTTGATGGGCTCTAATACTGAGGAAATGAAGGAGAAGGCAGTGTAAATTTTGGTCGAAACATGCTTCAGACAGAGTTTGGTTCGATGTAAAAGGTCGCAGCCAGGCGCTTGCAAATTATAAGCGCCTAGCTGCGACCGGGACCGTTCCAAGGGGTGATCCTTGGCGGCGCCAAGAGACTACCCCGCTCATGCAAACCTGGGAAGAGCCAACTATTACCTCTCCAGTCCCGCGATAAGCCTCCCAGCAAGAACAATCTCAATCTGCTTTGAACCGAAATCTCCACATCCTTTGCATTACCAATATGCAGACACCCGGGAGATTTCCTACACCACCGCCGTTGGGACTTGGACCCCCCTATTTTAGGCCTGAAGAAGTCGAACTGTGTTATCAGGCCGCTTGTAAGGGAGATCTTGAGGAAGTCAAAAAGCAAGCTCAGCGGCTCCTACATGACCCTCGGCCGTTTTCCGAGCCGCAGAAGCCCCATCCGGCGTGGTTGTACGAATCGCTTTCCATAGCCATCCACACGCGGAACATCGAAATAGTACGATTCCTGCTTGATGAGAACGTTGCGAGCGAACATCTCCCGGCTGAGGCTGCTGTGCGTGGGCGAGCCTATGAAGTATTGGAACTGCTCCTTCAGTACGGATGGGATATAAACCAACCGAGGGGCCGGAACGAAACCCCTTTGTTGAGGTACGCTTTTTGTTCTTTATTATAATCTGATTCTGATTTCGCTGACAGCTTTCTAGTATCCCTCTAGCTACCTCGGATAGAGAAATGGTTGAGTGGTTTCTCAACCATGGTGCCGATCCCAATGCCCGTTGCGTGTGGGATTTCACCCCCACGTCTCAAGCCGTGTACGAGGCTCCTCTGGAACTTATAGATTATTTGTTCTCTCGAGGGGCCGACGCCCGCTGTGGCCAACTCCTCCAGCATGCCGTCCATAGGGGCAAACCCGATGCTCTGGACGTGGTTCGTCGGCTTGTGGAGCGAGGTGCACCGATCAATGAAGTCAAATATGAAAAGGAACCGAAAGTGTATTGGGAGCGTAAGCCATTTGGCCTGGGGACACCACTTCATCGAGCCGCAGAGTTAGGCAAGGGAGACATCGTCGAGTACTTGTTAGAGCAAGGAGCTGATCCTTTAAAACTGGATAGTAGAGGGAAAACACCACGCTTCTGGGCACAGAAAAATAACTATATAGGGATAGCTAGAATTCTCCTTGAAGCAGAAGTTAGTCCATCCAGCATGCGACTTTGTTCCTTGGAGACTAGCAATTTAGAGCAGCTATGACGTTCTTGTTGGACTGTACGGGAGACGGTGGGGAGGACAGCGGTAGGAGGTTGTGGTTGGTTTCATCGGCGGCATTGCGATTGGCGGCGGTGCGGTGTTGAATGAGGACGGTGACGTCTTTGTCGTCGCGGAGTTCTGAGCGCTCATGAAGGCCTTGGATGGACTGAGTTCAGCATTAGTTTGCAAGACCAGGTCATACCCTGATGTCAGATAATGGATTGCCCAAAATGCAAGAAAGGGAACGTATCCGGCGCTGATAACTGCGAACATTTGCGCTTCGCAGGGGTGTTTGGTTCGATGTTAGCGTGGCATTGGGTTCTGGACTCTTACAACTTTCAGGTTCGTGGTACGGGGCCAGTACGAGACCACGTTCAGCTAGTAGGCAGTATTGCGTCCCGTATGGCGTTGTAAGGTGTACTGTGCAGACCAGTAACTTAAGCCGACGAAATCCTTGCGACAAAACGGGAAGCGCGATTTGTGCGGAATATGCGCCCGCATGGGATTTTCAGGCAGGGACGAGAAAAGGGACGAAAAACGGGAATGATAATAATAATCCCGTGCGGGACTGGCCAGCCCCCAAAAGTCAGTGAACCGGATCCCGCAGGGGATTGGATGCCGCAGGGACTCGGCTACTATGTTATGTTGTCGTCGCGGTGTTTTTTGCTTCGCGCGGGTTCGATCCCCAGGGGCGTGTGCATTGCTTTTTGCCCTTTTTCGATTCTTCCCTTATACTGGTGTCGCGGTTGGGAAGTCTTTCTGCACCTCCAAGCATTCAACGGGTCGAATGTTATTGGACGAAGGACAAACCCCGTGTTTTGAGTGTGACTCATCTACCGCCGCCATACCAACTCTATCTACCTACACTACCTATGCCATCGCATCTCAAGCAGTTCCTTATAGATATTGATAAGGAACTGGAAACGTGGGAGGAGGACCATGACACAGAATATATTGTTGCAAAGGTAGAAGGGGTAGGCAGACTAGAGACATGTATAGCAGAGGGGCAAATCTCTGCCCTGGAAAGGCAGAGAACAAATTTTATGATGAAGCAACTTCCAGACGTACGTTCCTCTTAGCCTTCACTGATACATATACCTAAATATATCAGTTCTCGCAGCGCTTCGCAATGTTCCGAGCGGTTGGGCCACCTGGATCATACGTAGGGGGCCCATACAATCAGATAGTTATCCCTATTCGAATCACGAAGGCCGGCGTCTACATAACCCATAACCAACACTCCACAGATCGCAGAAGTATCTCTTTGGGCCATTCTATCTTCTGCGCCGCTGGGCAGCCAGCATTTATCAGCGACGGCGTGAGGTTTGTAGCGTGGATATCATAAGAGGCTGGTTGGTTTATTGGAGGGGAATGTCGGAGCGGTTGGTCGGCATGCCGGAGGGCCCTACAGACACATCACCGTTATAGTTGGTTATGACGTCGGAGTGGTTAGTCGGCATGTTGGAGGGCCATATAGACACGTTGTCGGAGTAGTTTGTTAGGATGTCCTCTGGTTGGAACTACGGTCCCCTATAATGGCCTTTTAGGTATTAGCAATAGCTGACTTACAATAAATCTTCTATACTTACCTAGAACTTCTTGAGCCTGCGGCTGCTGAGGATATTCGCCTATGACAAAGACGTCAGCTTTGCTATAAAGTAGGTTCCGTGCTACGCACCGTTTCCCGCTCCTGAGCATAATCTCGACTCATTCCCCTGTGGTATGGGACGTCCATATGAGTAACTTGAGTGTTCAGTCTGATGGTTGTGTGCGAGGCTTTCTGGTGGAGGGGTGATGACAGATTGCGAGTATGATTGACTATGTGGAGGATCAGCGTTAGCGCTCGGCAGTTTTGGAGGTGGACGGGTTGGGTACCTGGAAGCATATGCGGGTTCACCTGAGTGTCGTATCAACTTGCGGCGAGAGGTAGGAGGAGCCATTGGAGCAGAATAGTGCGATGAAGTTGTGTGCACAGTAGTTGCCAATGGCTGGGAGGCGGCCTCCCAGCTCAAAGCCTCCTGCGGTCGTTTTCGCTTTGCGCGATTACCTTGACTATCGTAATGAAGTTGGGCTTCCTTCATCCAGGGCGTCGTATCTTTAGCAAGATTTAGCAGTTTGTCATAGCTTTGCAATTCTCGGATGAAAGTTGGAATGTGAGCATAAGGTAGCATGCGCCACTGACGACATACAAACAGCGAAAGGGATGTTATTCCAGCGATGCTCATCTCGCGATTATTGGCGTCCGTCTCTTCGTGATCGCCAAGGACGGTCTTTAGGAGCAAACGTTCGATGACAAGATGTTTCATCCCGCGAGCAAGGGCGACTGACGACATCGATAAATCGTCAGTGGAGATTCCGAGTCCTCTCAGGAATGTTTGTCCCCGGCCTTTTTTTGGTGTGCCGCAGCTAAGTCTTTCGTAATTATTTGAACTCTTGAAAGACCCTTGTGTTTTGTTAATTCCCATTGCTCAAATGCTAATGCAAAGCTTCTCTCGGCGAAGATAGCTCGAAACTTAGCCTGAGCGCTGTTGGTGTGGGTGCTGGTGCCATTTGAGATATCTAAAAGGCGATAGTCTCGTTGTTTGCTCGGTGGATCGCCAATTGCAACTTGTACCTCTCTACTTGTAAATTTTCGAACTTGGTCGTAGAGAGAATGCAAAGTTTGAAGTAACTTTACGCACTTTCCGCCATCGCCCACGGCTGGTGCATTGCTGGCTCTGTCTGGGGATGATGGCGGAGAAGGTGGAGAGGTGCTATCGCCCACGGCTGATGCGTTGCTGGCTCCGTCTGAGGACGAACTTGGCGGTGACCTCTCACTCTTGTCCCTAGTGTCGAAATCAAAAGCAGGAATGAAAATCGTGGCATCTGGAGCCGCTGAAGCGCCCTCCCATCTCCTCCTACAATTGTGTACCATGCCAACAAGACTTGCTCGTACTTTTACCAAGGAGGTTTGGTGCAGCGTTCTCGCGAATTTTGACGAACGTCGAGCCTGCTTCTCGAACTATTTTATTCTCCAGCACTGAGCTGGGGCTGGAGACGAGCTCGAAGGCAGTAGACTCTCAAGCGTGCAACCGTCCGTCCATCTCCTCTATCATGCACCTTCGTCCCCCTTATCAAGGTCCTACTCAAACTGCGCACCTTATCACCTTCTAATTCCTCCATTCTTCCTTATCAATCCTAGTACCATTTCCTTACCCTCTTCCCACCCTCTTCCCGCCTTCCGACCTGCTTCTCGCCTTCTTTCCAACCCCTTCTTGCCCACTTTTCCACCACTTTCACTCTACCTGAATCCATATAGTGGATATTCAAGTACGGATACTTGAGTTGGTTAATAGAAATATGGAGGAAACAATGATATATAACCCATAAAGTCACATGATAATACGCGCTCTATCCGGCAACACCTTACCATCATCCCAATCTCAACCCGAATCCTGCCAGCGCGAGGCTGAGCAGAATAAAATATGCTCTGGGATGGCTGACGTCTCGAATATTTGGTATCACTTCATTTTCCGTGGCCACGTACGATAAGGGCTGGCGCTACGGCGCAGAGCGCGGAACCACGCTCAACGCCCAAAATACCTACTAAACGCCAACATATTGCTGCAAGCATAAGACAAAATGGATCTGCAGCTGCGAAAATTCCCGCAGGGAAGATATGTCGAAATGCGACCAAATGCCGCCAGCATCACGTGACCAAATGCTCCGAAAAGATGTCAGGGTCAGGTAGCTCGAACGGAACGAAGAAATAGGAATAAAAGAGAACATAGGTGGATCTTAACATGGAGGAGCGACGCTCCGTGGTGGTGGAAGGCGGACTGTACATGCAGATTTTGTCTGCCGTTGCAGTGATGATAGGCTAGGGTCGAGGTTGAGCTAGTGCCCTAATAAACGAAGATGCCGACGTGGGGACAGTAGATAAGGATTTCAGTGTAACAGGATCGTGGATAGAATACAAGAAGCGAAGTTCCGTATAAAATACAGCGAGTGGTACGAGGATAAACAAGCACTGTTTTCATTCCGAATCCCCAAAGCCCCCACCCCCTCTCTCCTCTCCCTCTCTTCAGATTAACAATCCAATCTTATTATCCATCCCATCTTCGTCATTCTCACATATTCCACCTCATAACTCTTCCTTTCCCTTCTACCACCAGGCTCGCTATCTCAAATAGTGTGGCTCGCGATCTTTAGCCAGGGGTTCTAAATCATTAGCTTCCTCGTCTTCCGCGCGACTATATATGCAACTCAGACTCTTAAACAACAACACAAGAAAGCTCTCAAGCGGCGTGCGCGGCGTATTTTCGAAACGTACCCAGGTAAGCGTCACTCGATAGATTCGGCCCGGAAATCAGAACCTACGAATCTTCAGCAGGCATATAGATACCCTACAAGCACCTGCCCAGAAGCCCACATAGAAAATCGCAAGAATTGTGATCACGGAAGCGCCCACGCACATCCGCTTCCGTGAGTCGCCCTGATGATAGGCCCTCTGAATCGCGATCCTTCCGCTTTCAGCAGGCAGGAGATCATTTACACGCCGAAACCCATCACTATATACCAGATCTGGAGGTAAAGCGCCATGAGTGGGAGTGTGGTGATAAGGAAGGCGAGATATAATTGCTCGCTCGAATTTTGATTGCGGAGAAGGCGGATGAGAGGAGGAAGAAAAATGGGGCGTCGCTGCAGTGCCCTAATGGATAAAGGCAGCGGAACAAGCCTCCACGCCGTAATCCTCGCCCTACTTTTCCTTCCCATACCATCAATAACGTCATCTCTATCCCAGACTATATCTACACGAGTCCACTCCACCTCGTTGCTCAGTCACGACCAATCACAATAGCCATTGCATGAGCGTCTTCCGCGTCCAACGGTACAAGCTATGAACGCGAAGCTCCCACTCGTAATATGCAATTCACTCCTTCCAACCCAACGAGGACCAGATCGCCATCAATCGTTACTGATGTTCCTTCAACCGCGAATCGGCGACGAAAAGCGCCGGATCCTTCATATCTATTCTTTGCACCTTGATCCTGCTGATCGAAGCAAGTTTAGGCGCACGGGTGTTGCGCGATCATACATTGAACGATACGAGCAAATTTATGGGTGGGACAGGAAGGAAGCTCACTTCTCGATCTCCTCCCTACATCTGGAAACTTCGGAATGCTTCTCCTATCTAGCGCAGCATCCAATCGATCACGTCGAGGCTCACATGGAACCTGCGGATCTATTCGATAACACAGAGCGCAGTACGAGCTCTCCGTTCTCCACCCGTCGTTCCCTTCGTTTCGTAGCTCAGCCAGAGTGCGCAGACTCGCAGCAGTTAGGTCGCGTCGCCGTCACACTTGCAGAAAAGCGCCCTCCTCAAGACTCCCAGTACGTCTCGTCCTCTCGAGTGTCAGAACCCTATAATGCCATATAATCGCGAAATATTCGACCAACCAACTCTACTCACAACTCATACACACCACCAACCAGCAGTATTCCCACCACAGCAGCATCACCACGCAAATCCAACGCACACGTCCCCGTCCACGATAGCTAACTGCTCCGGCATCAGACGCTCTCTCTACACCCCTCACCCGCCTCTCGTCACCCCGTCCACCGCTAAGAACCCCACCCATCCATCACACTCCAGCCTTAATCGAATAGCTCGTTGAGAGAGAGTGGCGCAATACCTTGCACTTTCAAGATTGAAGATCGTTTCGAACATACGTTGCGGAGGGAAATCACATTGCTAGATCTCATGCATTCGAAAGAGACCTCGGATAATATAAGCAAGGGTGTGAATGGCTTCCATATGCCTCAGATTGAGATCAATTCGAAGACTGCACGCAGCGGGAGATAGGCCAGACTACCGGCGAAGCACCGCGACTAGTATTCTGCAAAATGTCAAGACAAATTAAGATGTAACATGAAGAGACCGTTCTCCAACCCCCCCCCTCCCGGTCAAAAAGAAGAAGGCCAAAACACACCTCCAAGCCATCCTCACGGACATGCCCCCTACTCGCTCACGCCCTCGTCCCCCTCACCCACTCCACCCACCCCTCCCGATCCCAATAGCTCCTCCATCCCCCACCCCCAGTCCGCATTAACAACTCCTTCTCCGCCCTCTTATACCCCTCCAGATACGCCCGTATACCGCGCAGCCCGCGCTCGAGCCAATTCTCCGCCGCCTACGCCTTCAGCTAGCGCTCCCAAGCAAGATTGTGCGTCGCAACGCGCGCATTGCGGCGCCATCCAAAGTTCCAAAAGTTGAGATAATCGCCGAGGCGCTGGCCCAAGCGGTGCTTAAGATCTGCGTGCGCGCCCTCAAGTTGTGTGCGCGTGTGCAGGAGCGAGGTTTCGATCCGCGCGATTTGCTGCTGGTAGAGGGATATTTCGCCGATGGAAACCATTTAACGAGCATTATTCAGTCCGAGCTTAAGATCCGCCCTGTCCGCCTTCCTGATTATCTTTTCGCTTACTCACTTACAGCACCGACGGCGTGGGAAAATCACTTTATTATGACTACAACTACTACTGCATCCCAAACCCAAACCCCTCCAAGAACGCCGTGCTCGAGAACCGCGACGCGCTGCTCTCCCGACTCTCCCGACTCTCCCTCCGCTCATGCCACCGCTCCAGCGGCAGAAGCCTCTTGTTCAAGAAGTCGACTTCCTGCTCCATCCGCTGATTCGCTAGCCAAATCCGGATATATACCTGCCCAAGCACCAAAAAGAAGAGATACTGTATAAACCAGTACCGCCTGTTCTCCGACGCCGTGGCCCAAGCCTGCGTCTGGCTCAGGAACATCGCGAATGCCACCCAGCGGGTCCCGCTCCACAGCAACCTCCGCATCCAGTTTGTGCCCAGCAGGAATTCCGCGATTACCCACACCAACAGGTACGCGTATGTGTTCTCGTCGATCAGGTCGAACTCTTTTGGGAAGTGCTGAACACAGCCACTGATGATAACGAAGAGGAAACCGCAGATGAGCGGGAAGACTAGCACACCGCCGGGTACGGCGATGGTCCTGTGGGGATCGAGTCGTTGGAGCAGAGTGTTCTTCTCGTCCCGCAGCTGGGCTACGGTAGCATCGCTGCGTTTGAGGCGTGCGTGCAGGTCGGCGGCTAGCTGGCGGTATGCGAGCGAAGAGTGCGCGAGGATCGCTGTCGCCCCCGCGGGAGATGCGGGCAGCATGAATTGTTGGCGTAGCAGGCCTGGTGAGGTCGGAGGGCGGGCGTAGGATTCGGGAGTGCCCCCAGCGGCGATGTGTGCGTTGTAGGACTCGGCGATGGAAGGAAGAGACATGGTGATGTGTGGTGGGATGTGAGCGAAGGAGGACAGAGAGCACATGTATAAGAGGTGCAGCGGGTGTTCGCGGCTAAAGAAATGTCTTTGTTCTGCCGCATTTAGTATGGAATAGTTGGTGGACAAAGGCACGTAATCTAGAACTGTCCGTATAGGAGCAAACAAAGAACGAAAAGGTGCACGGAACGATCACGCATCATGAGGCGTCACGAACTAGCAATAACAGAGCGAGTACGACTGCTTTCCAGCTGGTACATTGTCTATCACCCACATCGACGAAGGAATCCATAACACCAGAAGTACCCCGTAAAATTCCAATCGACTCCATACAGTGTCAAGGGAATATATTCCCTTGAACCTTAGGGAATGCGCCAAACCTCATCCTAGCAATATCCGAGGAGAATGATCAGTTCTATGGACTAACATCCTCCACTGATGCAGACTACACAGCTGCTCCACCTGTTTTAAGTTAGCAAGATGGCCATGTCAGACGAGCGCATCAAGCACATACCTCAACGCCTGTCCACGAATTGATCCAGGAAGGCATCAATGCCATCGCCCGACGACCCAGCCACAACCGGCACATTATCCTCCTCAACAGATGCGTAGTAACCTGTCGCCGGGGAGCGAGCGCGACTGGGCGGCTGGCTCACTGTGGCACTCCGGCGTCCACCGCGACTGGCCACGCTCCGGCTACGACTGCGGCTTTGGCTGTGAGCCCGGTAATCCTCACTCAGCTCGGCCACTTTGGCGAAGACACCAGCGAGCACGTCACACAGCGTCATGATTATACCCTCGGTCGTGGACTGGCGCTCCAGCATGATGGCCAGCACCTGGTTCAGGGTCTGCTCGCGCGAGTTGGGTCGCTCGCCCTCCACTAGATGGTCCTTCATGAAGTGGATCTGCTGCTTCGGGCGCTGGATCTGGCTCAGCAGCTGGCGGAGGGACTGCGCCATGTCGGTGCCGACAACGAGAGCGAGGTTCTTCCAATTGCCCTGGCTCAACAGGTACTCGAACTCGGAGACGCTGGGATCGCATTGAGCTGGCGCGTTGGGACGAGGAGTGACCGAGACTTCCGGCCGATTGAACCCGGAGTCGCTCCGGGAGACTGCGGTGCAGGTGAGGCCCTCGTATCCGCGGCATAGCGTCGCGGAGTCGGCGACTGCTCCCTTCGGCGGCCTCCAACGTCTGGGATCGGAGCCGCATAGTCGTCACCACCGTACTCGGAGCCCTTATCATCCCAGACGGGCTCTTCGACGGGGAAATGGACACTCCTCCGGCGGGGTCGCATGCGTGCATCCTGCATGATCGGTGGCTGCTGTCCGGGACCAACTCGAAATCAGATTGTGAGCAAACGCAACGTTCTTTAGCACTGGCTGACAACGGAACGTCATAACCAAATGAAGTTTCCGTCTCAAACGAAGCTAGTGTCGCGAGATCCTCGAGCGTCCCCATTCCGCCAAGGTCCGCTCGACTCTCGACGCCTTTTCCCCGTAGATTGGGTGTCCTTGTCATCTACAATCCCGATAATCCTCTCAGACTCGATTATTTCTCGCGGACTCACAAGGTTATGGCATGATAACCTGGTCCAAGATCTACCAGCTGCAGACGATAAACCACCACGAAAACGATCGGGTCCAGTCTCTCGTTCTTTCTATTTGTGAACACGATGACCAGCACCATTTATCCGAAGACCTGGCAGCTATCGACGACATGAAGCCCCAGAGCTGCGTGCGCGGCCTGGCACATAGCGTCGACGCTGAAGACAAGGAGGAGGCCGCATACTGCGAGGCCTGTTTCGACATAATCGAAGATGGAAGTTACGCTCACCGGCGGGATAAGTTATTCCTCTCTTCTTTGAAGAATGTGCGTTGGACACAACAAAACTAGAAGCAAAAGCGCAAGCACATTGCTGAGCTTAGGAAGCCCAGGGTGCGGTACGTAGTCCAAAGACTCGATAACGGCATGGTGTAGACATACCAACTATCAGGCGGGCCGAAGGCTTTGAACACCTCCAGCTTGGAAGACAGTCCCTAGACGATGATGGCGCCTACCTTGACTAGGAAGACGAAGCAACTCGGGAAGGAGATACCACCGCCACATCCTCATAGGAACTTATTGGGTGAATTGCAGAGTATTAAGACATGAGTTGATTAATTGAGAATACGAGAAATATGGCTATATATATACATGACCAGGTCACGTGAAGTAGTAACTATATCTGGCAACACACCCCCCTAGCTTAAAGTGTATACGGAAAGCTGTCTAAGAAGGTAAGGCTTTTAACTATACCTAAAAAGGTAATTAATAATCGTCTCCTATAAATACACCCCTTAGTGCTGTAGTGTTCTGTAAGGGCCACCCCCCTTGTAAGAGGACCCTGTAGGGTTAAAAGAGAAGTGCAGAAAGCAGAGAGATAAGAGATCTGTGCATAAGGCTGTGCCTATTCCTAATTAGAAAGTCTAATATAGGTCCTGGAGGTTAGGTTTAGATAGTAGAGCGTTTAAGTGTTTAAGTAATAGTGTAACACCTCTACACTACTAACCTCTATAGCTCCCCTGTAGGTAAAAAGGGATAGAGCAATGTTAAAGGCGTAAATTAAACTTAAGAGCAGAGAGTAAAAAGAAAGAACACCTTATTTAATAGCTTTTAGAGTATTTTTATAGTTACTACGGCCCCCTATAGCTTATAGCAACTTTGTAGAGTAGATTATTAAGTAGATGTTAATACGTCGCTACGTATTTTATTAAGACTAGGCTTGTTATAATAAACGTAGCCTGTTAATTTTATAGTTAATCTAATAGATTATAATAAACGTAGCTAGTTAAGATATAATAGAATTGCGTATAAAACTAGTATATATATACGTCGAAATTAACAGAAAATAGTTAAATAAGTGTGGTAGGCGCTTCTATAGTAGAGCTAGAAGCAAAATAAGGGCAAATAGTTGCCTTAGAGGTCCTAAAATGCTAGCGAATTAGGCATGTGTCGCTCTAGTTAGGTTTACTATCTAATCTAGTACTAGCGTAAGAGGTTCTTAGGCAGCTTCTACTACTCTACTAAGAATAGCGGAAGCTTTAACTTGCTAGAAATATTCTTAAGCCCTAGCTGTTAAATAAAGTAGGCGTGTTTTTAAGGTAATAGAATCTTTGTAAGTCTATTAGCTAGCATTTAACCTATAGAAATCTATTTAACGTTAATTCTTTAGTTCTTAACTTTCTAGCGGAGCTATATTTAGTGTATGTTAACGTGTTTAAGCTTTGTCTAAAGCTTCTCTATAGCCTTAGTTACTATACCTATAGTCTACTAATTATTACACTAAAGCTTTAGTTTAATATTAAGGTTTAGCTTTAGGTAG